GTATGAAATGCAGCTGTTGAGCAGTTGCTTAAAATAAATTGCATACTTTAAACCCACCAAGATGATATATGAGGATTCAAAACTGTGTCACAAATCCTGACCTACTGAGAAAGAATGCTTAATGAAAAGACTACTGTACGTTTCACTGTATCCTTTGCAAGGAGGGTGAAATTCAGGTCAACAGGATAGAAAGCTTCCAGGGCTCAGGAAACCTGAACAATCGATCACTGAGTAAACATTATTGCAGATACTTATGGAGAGTAAATGATCTTGAACACAATAATGGGCTTTATAAAAGGATTTAAATAAGTTGTAATGTTTCCATATCTACCCTGGTATGATATATTGGCAGCAATTACATATGCATTTGTGAGTTAAGTCTCTTATTACCGTATTTTTTTTTTTTTTTTTTAATTTCATTGACATTGAAGTTTCAACCCAGACTTTTAAGGTGCAAAGGTTAATGTAAAATAGGAGGGTGGATGAGTTAGTTGGATGTTATAGTAGCATGTCTCAGAATGAAATACTGAGGTTTTATTATAAAAATACAGAATGGTCTCATTTATGACAAAATTGAGATTGAGCTAATCATAGTCTAATATCTTGTGGTTGCCATATATTTACTTGTAAATCTATCCAGTGCTTTCACATCTGGAAGCTTTGCATTGTTTCAAAATACAAACAAATGCTCCCACTTATAGCAGGTACCTAAACTGTCCCAGTTACTGACTGGAACACATTTTTATACTTATATAAAGACCTGTGTGTTTAAAGGAAGGGATGTCATCTACTTGGACTTCTGGGCAGAAATATTTTTTGCTTGCAGTGGCAAGCAACATTTGAATTAAATTGAACATTTGAAAGAAATTGAAATGATTTGTTTTCTTCCTCTTCCACCCATAATCATTCCTGGCAATCTCTCACGCTGCATTTGGCAGAACTTTGTGCATTTTCACTCTTTTTCCCTATCTACAGCCATTAAGCTTTTGCTCTATGGTGTGGCTCTTACATAGAGCAATGCAAAATAGGAACATTTTAATATGTGATTGTCTGAACATGGAAGTTGGCAGGCTGCCCCTGAAGCAGGCACAATACTTGAAACTATTTATAATAAATCTTGTTATGTAGGTGACAAGGTTTCTAGCTGCTCTTGCACCCTAAATAGTGCGCATGTGTGATTCAGGCCATAATGATTGTTTTAGATACCTTCCATTACTGAAAAGAGGCAGGTAGCCTAATAAAGAATTAAGCACTAATTCTGGGTTTTTAGGTCTGGCAGCTGACATGGCCCTTGCATAGATGCCATCTAGAGAAATAGTTGGAAGCCTGCTATATTGTTTTTGCCCCTCACTGTTGAGAGTGGGTGCTTTTTTCCATCTTCAGTTTGAAAAGATTGAGCTTGAAAACTATTATCAGTATTCCAGAGTGGGAACTCTCTCCTTTCTAATTCCTGTGAAAAATGATATCACTTGTTGTAGAAGGTACTAGTAAAAACAAAGTTGTGACATGGATTTGTGAGGAAAATATTCTTAACTTTAAATTTGTCAGTTTGGAATTAAGAGAGATTTGATCTTTTTAAGACAAGACTAGCCGGATAATTAAGTGTTTTTGCAAGTTCACGAGGGCACATCTGCTCATTAGCCATTAGGAAACAAAACATTTTAATATAATTCCATATTTTCTATGAAGATCAGACACAGAGTCTGACATGAGTTGTTTAATCAACTCTTGTGGAGGCTTTTCACCCACCACTGTCATTGCACTTCATTGCTGACAGGCAAAAATAGTTAACTATCTTGTGGGATTGTTTTGTCAAATAACCAAAGTATGGAATAAACTGAGACCACCAAACAGTTAAATTGCCTTTCTTATAAAATGGCAGAAAATGTCCTAATGACAAGACATGATTTCAGTAAATATGCTTTCTGTAACCTTCTTTATTTCTCATTGCATTTGGAAGGTGAAGTTCATCTACATTAAAGTCAGGGAGCCACCTTAGGCTATTCTGTCTCCCCAAGCTTTAAAATTTTACACGGATTTACTGCATGGCAGCACAATGTTACTGTCATTCCAAGTGTTGTAATAGTGTTTTCTTCTTAATTGACAACTTGAAGCTTTGCATCCATCAGGTGTGCAATTCCTGTGATTTTTCTAATCATTATCTTAATACCCTGTTTAATACTGAATAGGGTTTTTTTCACATTTTACTTAGACCAGCATATTTTAAGAAAGACGTCTCAAACATTTCATGTTTGGCCCTGCTGATCACTTTTGAGAAATCAGATTTTCTGGTTTTGCCCTGCATACCATCATGTAATTCATTTTGTATTTGCTTGAGCAAAAGTGAAGCATACTTTAAACATCGTAAAAGTGAGAATGTATTACCTGTTTCATTGTCAGTCTTCTAAAAATGCACCTGAAATGCACCTAGAAACCCTGAAATGCATCTTAAGCATATAATCAAACAGTTTTAGGCAATACCTGTATTAGTGTGAAATAGCTTAATATAAAAAACAAACAAACAAACAAACAAAAAACAAATAAACAAAACAAAAAACTTTTAAAATATCTTGATTTGATTTCTAAGAGGAAAATGTAAGGCCATCAGGTTTTACTGTCTGTATCTGGTCCATGATAGCACACTGCACTTCTGCAGAGCCCTCATGATTTCAGTAATACTCTGCTTGTATTCTAAGAGTACAGCCATGTGGATCAAAACACCAGAGCAGAGCCTCATTGCCCCGTAAAAAGATCTATGTATTTCAGTGTGCTAGTACTATAACAAAGAAAAAAGTAGTTTTGCCTGTTACAGGGACAATAGATGCTAATCTTGACTGAATTTGCACCTAGAGAGAAGGTGGACAACTCTTGCCTTTTCCCTGTTGTGCTCTCTTCGTTTTTGTATTTGAAAAGTTCTGGATTAATGTTGCGGCTTTAGTGGGAATTCTGCAGGTCAGCTATCCTGCTGGTATTGGCTGTAGGAGCTGAATCCCTTACATTGTATAACTGACTGTTAGTTGATCTTCACACTTAAATATTGTAACTATTAGTCCTGATCCAGGAAAGCACTTAAATGTCTATGTAACTTTATGCATGTGAATAGTTTTGCTGGTTCCGGTGGGAATACCAACATGCATCTCTGCTGAAGTGCTTTGCTGGGTCAGTTCCTACACCTCCGCTGGAAGGCATATGACGGCATTGTCAACCTAGCTATTATGACAATAAGAGTCTAAATTTTACTTTTTAATTGAAGGTTCCCAAGAGAAAATTATGCTTGGAAAATTCCTGTATCGACCTATCTGTGTAGTTGTCTATTTTTAAAAGATGTAATGAAAGGAGATGTGAACAGTGAGAGGTATTTGCTCTCAGCTTATCTAAAGTGTAAATTTTGAAATGTGTTTTGCCATTAGGTGGAATTAAAAGAAAATTCTCTAAAACATTGTATATGTATTAAGCAAGTTGAGTTTAAGAAAGCTTGCTGAAAGACAATTATAATACCTATACACAGACATAAATACATTCAGAATAAATACATAGTTTTAAATGTTTCTTGGTTTGGATCAGTGCTTTCATTGGTGTTTTGTTCTACTCTTGTTTGTTAGGTGACTGGTGATATGTACCACTAGTTTTTCAAAGTAATTAACATGAATGATTGTTATAGGCAAGCATTTCTGTAGTAAGCTATGCTTGTGTAAGCAATAACCGGTGTGCTTAGACTGGTTAACCTTTTGTGATTTTTTTTTTTTTTTTTTTTTTTTTTTTTTTTTTGGCATATGTGATGGCCTTTCAATGCAGAACTTCGCCATCAGAGGGGCAGGCGTATCAGATGTCAACAGCACAGTGCTTTCTGAGCCTAGCTAGCAAACTGCCATTGTCAGCATATGTGAAAATGGATAACAAGGGATATGGAAAGTCTTGCATGACCGAGCAGTGAACTTCATGTTAACGGTGCATTTAGCACAGGACCTTTGGTCATTTTTTGGAAAGATTTTTGCAGTACCTTCAGACACTCTTGTCTTCAGCAGTGTTTACTTCACCAGGTTGAATGAATGTTCTAAGAGCTGCTAAACCAACTAACCTCCCTTGGCTTTACTCAGGAGGGAAAAAAGTTTTATAAATGTAGTACTGGTAGAATAGAACTCTTCTAGTTCAGTATATGTGGGAGGGAACACATTTGCAAATCCTGAATGCAAACCAGTATCTGCAGGATTAGACCAAGGTTGAAAATTGACATTTGTAGATAAGTGGTTTTTTTCTGAGAGTGCAGTAAGTAATGGATTTATCAATAGGTATAGGCTTCAAAAATTCAGTCTTGATTCAGTATCTGCATTTGGAAGACCAGAGTTCTTCCCACATGCTCTTAATGGCACCAGAAATGTTGTAAATTGCTTTTTTCTAAAAGTGGTTATAATGATGACAGATTGCAAAAAGGTATGTTTTGGTATGCAGTTTAGATTACTAAAGTACAAGAACCATTTTCTAAGTGAACACTGAATTTTATGATTAGATTATATACATATATTAAAGTAGTATATAATATATACCTTAGGAAATACTATATTAGATAAATAAATCTGTGAACAGTTACTTCATTCTTTTTTTAAGTGTTTATTTCTTGCCACATATCAGTGATTTAAGGTTAAAGGAATATTTCAGAGTTTAATTTTAAATGTTACATGTGCATTTTAGTATGGATAAAAGGGAAAAACCTTGTGTACACAGTCCTATTTGTTAATTCTGTGGCCTGAAAAAACTTTTTTAATGTCATGATTACAATTTGAAATATCTTTGCTTGAGTTACTCATTCAAAAAGTTTGATTAATGTACATTTCATATTCTGTGTCTAACAGTGAAAAAGGATTCTGCTGTATTATTATTTCCAGGTTAAAAAAAAAAAAAAAGAGACTAAATATGCAGGTGATTAACAAAAAATCAAAAGCAATTACATGATTCTGATTTTCAGATAAACCCCATAGTTATTTTCTAATTCTGTTTTTCAGTTTCCATAGCTAGACGTGTCCAAGACCCATTAGCTGAGCTAGTGAAAATTGAGCCCAAACACATAGGAGTTGGAATGTATCAGGTAAGATAATATTGTATCATTTAATCTAAGTAATCTATCATGAGATAAAGCAACATCAAAATGCTGCTTTATAATTATCAAGTAGTTACATCTCCTTTAAAAGGCGTTTGTAGAGTTGATAGAATGGCAGTAAATACCTAGAAGTCATAGACTGCCTCTTTTTTTAATCTCTACTTTTAATGATTGCGATTGAGACTCTGAAATGGCTGTAGCCAGATTTATAGTCTATTAAAAGCATCAAATCAGACAGGTAACCTGATCTGTAAAGCTTTCTCTTTTTTTGTATTGTTACAGCAATGGGGTTTTAGCTCTTTGTATAAAATACAATGGGATGTTGATCCTCCATTTAGAAGCCATTAATTTGTGCTATTACATGCATTCCTTCTTAGAAGTTTGTAATAAAAGCATTTGTTTTGAACTTTTTCTTTTACTAAAGCTGAATTGGAAAATGTTTGACAATTCTTATTTTTAAACATTTTTGTAGGCTATTTCTGAGAAGTAACTTTTACCTTCAAAGTGTCTTTGCAAAGTGAATGGTATTGAGAAGTGGTGCATAAGTTATTGTCATTTTATAGCATATTGGCATCCATTCAGGAAAGCATTTATGCTTATACTTAAGTCCCACCAAATAGAGAAGTAAAAAAAATAGGAAATTCAGCATGCGCTTTTCTCTGTATTTTTGAAACTATAGAATGTGAGTAAATTTGAAAATTTGAAACAGAAGTCAGAACAGAAAGCACAGAACTGTCTGGATCTGTGCTTTCAGGTTAGCACATGAGAGTTAATGGGATAGAATGCAATTAGCAGCCTAGAATATGGCTACTGTTAAAGGTGATGTGACAAAGACAGGCGCTATGGAAAATATCAAAGAAGTGTATATCTTGTTTTGGTTTTGAAGAATTGAGGCCAACGTTTTAGTTGGTTAAGGTAGTGCTCACTATTGCTTTTGCAAGCCCTGCTTGTATTGACACAGACTAGAAAATGTACTCCTGTTTCTTGCTAACTGCAAAACTTATCGGTATGAGCTATATCATAGGTTTTGAGGAAAATTAGATTGAAGGGCTGAAATACCGTAGATTTCTTTAAAGTATGTATGCAGATTTCAGTAAAAATGTGCTTTAGAGTGACAGCTATTAATTAGGGGGTGGTCATCTGGCAAAAAGAGCTTCAATCTGAAGCATAGTTGGTTTCCTTCTTTATGGAGACGCACTGGTTTTATTTATAACAGCAGCAATAACAACAATAATGAAAAATGGTACAGATGTTTGTTGGTCTTTGCTTTAAGCAAAACAGTATTTAAGAAAAAAAGAAATCTTGAAATACTAAGTCATCATTTTGAGGTTAGTTCCATTTTAAACAAAATTTCAAAAAAATCAATTCCAAAATGGAATATTTTACTATTTGAAGTAAACTGTGAATATCTAAGTGCTAGGAACTTAATTTGCTATGGCTAGAAGGTATTAATTTAGGTGCATGCTGTCTACTATTGCCCACGTGCACACTGTACAAGCATGCAAGCATGCATTTAAAGCAAAAAGTCATGGAGTTGGTGGTGATTGTATGGTTATGGGAGCATTATATTATCAGACAAATGTTGCAATGAACATGTTGCAGCAGTTTACTACTGCCTCAGTGACTGAAGCTGGGATCATTTATTCTGTACTGAAATAGGACAGGGTAAGTACCATGTTCCTGGCCCTTACAGGGAAGCTTCTTGGTCCACTAGATCCACCTTTGCACGTAAACATCCAACTGCATTATTTGTTCATGTCCAAATTGCTTATATGAAAAGTTTCAGAGACATCATTTCTAAAAGCCTGGTAGAGGTATACCTCAAAAATTTTTCTTTACCAGCTCTCTGTACTTTTAAGTCTCATCATGGTTTGGATAAATCCTCTGAGGTAGACCTCCTGTGAGAATTCTCAATGATCACTACAGGAGCTATAATGTGCTGTTCAATGATATAGAAATCTCTGAGGTACTAGAGCTTTAATTGACACTACTGAAAGCAAATTTCCACTCTTGAAAGCAAAGTCAGAAGCTCTGCTGCATTTTGGGCATGAGAGCTCTCTCATGGCAGGTGAGGAGCAGGGAGGAGGAGAGGAATTAAGCTGTTTTGTGTGGTCTTCCTTCATAGAGAACAGCCGCTTGCTGGCATCGTAGAGGGCAGGAAGAGCCATTGTGTCATACAGGGAGTCCCAGAGTAATAGCTGATATAATCCCTCAGATAAAGAGTATGTCGGGTACCGATTTTTATATTATCCAAGTCAATTTGAAAAGTTTTGTTATACTTTAATTTATAACCTAATTTCTAGATGAAGCTTTTTATTGATTTCTGGGATGAAATATGCAATGTGCAGTCAAGATCAAAAACATAGCAAGCTTTTCACTGAGGAAGTTACTTTCTTAGCCCACTACAACTATATACCTAGCATTTACATATGATTTCTCCCTTCTTAAAAACCTTGAAATTGATATTTAGGAATCTCACAAATCCACGTTTTGTCATTCTTGTCCTGAAGGACAGACAGCGATTAGTCCTGCACTAGGCCTCTGTTACATCAAGCAGCGGCAGCTGTACAGCACAAGCAGGGTGGTGGTTTCTGGAGGGATGGTTTATGCTCACTGTGTGGTGATCAAAGTGCGAGCTCCCTGAAGGAGCGGTCCTGCCTTTTGGGCTACTCCTGCCCAAGTGCACCGTTCCTTTTCTGGTGCTAGGTAATGACTACATGATGCCCTGGGTTGGCGTTAGGAAGGGGCAACAGTGTGCAGCTTGAGAGAACCTTCCTCTGGGGCCACAGCTTTCACAGCAGCCCAAGTTTTGATTGACTTGGGACATGGCCTCTCTATCAGTTTAAGATAGCCAGAGGTCCCAGACAACTCTACTTGAAAGGCAGTAGCTAAGAGATGTTATTTCTGTCTTTTGGGGAGTTTTTTCTTAGCGTTTGAAGCAAGAGACTGGCAAAGCCAAACTTGCCTGGAGAAGGCTGTAGGCTTTTGTAATGGGATGTTCCTAGACTGTGGCACAGGAACATTGTATGTTCAGGTGAGTGACCCTCTATCAGCAATGACAGTAGTGCTACAGAAAGGTGATGTGGCCATGTGTTAAGTCTGCTGCTTAAAATAGGAGCTTTCTCAAAGTCTGTGGAGTTTGTGGCCCCCCTCTTCCCCAAACCCTTCAAACCCACCCCCCCAGTACTGTGTGAAAGGGGCTGTGTCTTCTGTAGTCACCACATCTGTGGGATTTTGGATCCCTCCCACCTGACCTCTTGGTATTTCACGTACATGTTTGCGAAAACATTGGTGTGTTCTAGCTCTTCTAGTACAAGTTTTCTTAGCAAATCTGCTCATTTGGGTATGGAAATAGGAGCTTCTAGGTAGCAGAAGATCTCTGGAAATTGAGTTGCCTCAGTTGGGACTTGTGTTTACTTGTTTTAGATGACCAAAAAATTTGAAACTTGTACTTAACCACTTGCTTTTATTCTCATTTCAAGTTATGATTTTGAGTTTGTGCACTACCAAGAAAATCAGATTTGTCAGAAAAAAATAAACAGGCTCCGAATCTCCTAACAGGTATTTCCTTAAACAAAGAAGCACAACCTGATTTATTAGGGCCTCTCCCAGACTAAATTCTTGTTGCCCAAAGGTCCTTGTCGTCCTTCATCTTTATCTCATTAGGAAAATTGTTCTTTCCTCCCAGACAGGACCCTAGACAAAATTAATTCATCACATTCAGGCCATATTACTATGATTTCTTCTGTAGTTGAACATGAAGATGATGCCCAGACTCTGTCTGATATAGAATATATTTGCCTTGCCACCTCCCCATGCCAGTTCAAAGCTGAATTCCTATCAGGGAAGAAGCAGTTAGTGGCTCAAGACTTTGTTACGCTGCAAACTGAATTTTGGCTGATGAATTAGTAGTACAGTTGTAATGATCTTGGAAGATGTAGATAAGAGCCGAGAACAAAGTTTCTTCACAAAGACTGAGGTTAGGAAATTGAATTCCAGAACAAATAAAATGAATTAAAAGTAAAAAAGATGCCTAAAAAAGAAGAAAAAAGAAAAATCCTTCCTCTCAAATAGAAACCCAACTTTTCATAGAAGAATAAAACAGCACTAGCATAAACATTCTGTTCACAAGTCCCTATCAAAGACAAATAGCCTCAAGTAAAAGGGGAAATAAATTAATAAACTTCTAAAACATCAAAACCCAAATCTGTATTATAAGGCAGAGAAAGGAGAAATAATGCTAAGGGACTATATTAAGTTTGGTTGGTCTTTTGCTGTTCATTTAATGTGCAAAATTCCTGGATGTTAAAAAAAGAAAAAACAAACAAACAAAAACGCATGCAAAAAAAAAAAAAAACAGTAACCACTAGGGAAAGAGCTCACTCACCTGTAGCCTAAGAATAAAATATGTGGTGCGTGTTGAAGGATCGGAATTTTTGACAAGTCATTTATAATATTATAAAATGTGCACCATGTCTGATCTTGAAAAAACAACATCCTATTTGGTCTATAATTTTTTTGAGCATTAAAATATCTTCATGATATAATTTTGTATATGGTAACATCTTCAATGTTTAACACATTTGGCAAAGGAACATCCCAAAGTATGTAAGAGATAATATATGTAATTTTGTAACCTCTGAAGTGGGAGTATACTTGATTCCAGATGTAGCTGGAACACTTCGTGTCAGATAAATAAAATTTGTAAACAATACTCTCAAGTAGCAATTCCTTCAGGGGGGAGAAAAAAAAATGAGTGAATTCTTGGTTTATTTTTTATATATTGCTGGAAGATCCTGATCAAAGGAGAGTTTCATAAAGCCTAATCAGAATGCCTAATAATTAAATTTGGAAATGCCTTTTCTGTCCCTCTTGTCCTTTTTCCTCCCTGTGTTGCTCTTGTTATTGAAGTGCATCAGTTTTGCATTTAATTATTACCTGTAGAACATTTTATTATTTTAGTTGCAATCTGATGTGCCTTTTAGGCT